AAACCTTTTTCCCGCCACAAAGCTCCATGGGCATGTACAACACCAAGAGCTTATTTGCTGTCAAGAAAAAAAATGGCCATTTTACCGTTTCCCAATTCCAGAGCACATTTAATGCAACAAGTTCTGCCTTTTGAGCTGGTGTATTCGAAGTCAATGCTTCCTCTCCCAAAATTTCATGCTGGCTTTCCAAGATGTAGCTGCTTCCATCAATAAACTAATTATTTTCATTCTGCATTTTGTAAAGGCTCAGCTTTCAAATCTGGTTTGCTGGAGTAAACCACATCAAGAACTTGCATGCAATCCTGAGGTAAACCATCAGGAGAATTATCTACTGGCATTAAAGGAACTTATTCACAGTCATCCAGAAAATTCAAAATATAGTATTTTGTCTCAGAAGGAGCCCCTAACAATAAAGAAATCCACATATTGCAACACAGTTCCAAAGGTGTTTCTTTTCCTTGAAAATCTTTCACTTCTCATCTAAGTGAAGAATTGAAGAAGCTTCTTGGATAAGAAACAAAACATTTTCTTTTTAAAAAAAAATCTTTATTTTCCTTTGTCAACATGAATAAAATAAAATAAAAACAGAGAAACAGAAAAATGAACACCAACACTAACAATGTAGAAAAAGGAAAAATAAAGTTTTATTATTTATTATTTATTTTATTCCTTCTCTTACATAATGGGTCTACAAATAGCTATAAGCTTTCCCATCCTCATTTGACAAAACTATTATATTAAACAAACAAACATTCCAGAGGAGAGAATCCATCTATTATTGTACTCAACAGGTAGAAAGTCCACCAACGGCTTCCAGTCTCTTATAAACCTGTCTAGTCCATTGTCTGATCGAAGCAGTTGGTTTTGCCATCTCTGCTAGTTCAGACAATGTCAAGATCCATTCCTCCACAGTCAGCACAGGGCTTAGCAAGTACAATCCTCGCAGTAGCCATCATATAAACTGATAACATTTTTCAATTGGTTTGTCCCTAATACCTAAAATATCCTTCAGATTTAATATCTCTATCTTAAATATTCAGAAATCAACAACAACCGAGAAAGTCCAGTGGCCTTTTGAACAGAACCTTTGGGCCAGCCCTGACCTGGAAAATTGAGAATCTCCACAGACAGTGAGGACCATTAATGGGTGGGATGGCCTGACCCCAGAAGTTGTGGCTGCTCCATCACTGGAGCTTTTCAAGGCATTTGTTTATCCAGAATGATATAAGGTCTCCTGCCTTGGCCAGAGGGTTGGACTAGAAGATCTCCAAGGTCCCTTCCAGACCTATGATTCTATGACTAGTTTAAATGCTGACTGCTAGTAAAGATTCTCTGGATTCAAAAAGGTGGAAATTCCCTGATTGCAGATTCCTACCTTTTGTGCTCTTTAAAGAGGCTGACTATTCATTTTGGTAATGTTTGCATCCTAATGAAAAAATCAGAGGACATTAAAAGACATCAGTTTTAAACATTTACATTTTTAAAACACAGATTTGTTTTTTTAAAAAAGATCTTTATATGTGCAGCAACCCTGACATCTACTGCATGAGTCTCAACTCATGAGTCTGAAACACATTCTAGTTATTTGTTTTCTGTCTACATATAGTCATGCTGGCCACATGACCCCAGAAGCTCTTCAGCTGTGAATCAGAGATGAACAGCGCCCCCTAGAGTCAGACACAACTGGCATCGGTAACATTGTTTGATAGTTCTTCATCTCATATTTGGCCGGAAGATTTTCGGGGCAAGACAGCTAAATGAAGCTCACCAGTTATGTGGATTTTGCCAATGGAAAGACAGTAAACTTTGTGTTTGTGTTGCCAGATGTTCTTTTACACACATTGTTCTGATGACAGGCAGGATAAGATCCAAGAAAATAGGAAGGAGTGGCATTTCCAGTATCTAGTATCAGTGATGGGATTCAAATACGTGAACAACTGGTTCTCTGTGTGGATGCTGCTTCCGGAAGTCCATTCTGGGCCTGGGCAACAAAAAATTAGCTACGGGTTCTGCCGAACTGGTACGAATTGTCTGAATCCCACCACTGTCTAGTATCCTTTGAAACAGTAATGGTATGTGGGGAAAAACCTTGGGAGACTGGGCAAAGAGAGGGAACAATCACATAAGAGACAACATGGCTCCACACTTGCATAGTATGTGGAGCAAGAGACTTACCAGGGACCCTCCCTAATTTCTGTAAAGGAAACAATGGAAGACTTCTACTTTCAGAGAATAGAGGATTTGGTTTTCCAGAGTCCCATCCCTCCACTTCTATTCTGCAGTGGAAAAAAGCTCCTCAAATAGAGCCACTAAAAATTGCCCACTTAAGCCCTGGTTCTCTTTGCACAGAAGTACTCAGTTCAAAAATATCTATTTATATTTTCCTGCAGTTCAAGATTTCACAGCCACCGGTGAAAACCCATTTAACCATTCGAAGCTTACCTCCCGGAGTTGTAGGTACTCTATCTGAGCAGATCGGTCAGCCAGAGTAACTCACTTGGTCAGTTAAAGCTGCCACCTGCAACATTTAGCAACAAAATGCTTTTCGAAAGCACATATTCCATGTCTTCCTAGCATTTGCCTTCCTTTCGTCTTAAAAAGTGATGTAAAAAGCACTAGTGTGTCTTATGATTTGGAACTGAGGTGGATCAACTTCTCCTGGTCCTGAATCAGGTTGCCTTGAATGTATCGAACACATTCTTAACATTGTGATAAATTTTAAAGAGCAGATGTCAGGCTACCATGAATGTATTTGATAATATACCTTAGATTCTGGAGTGTTCATCATTGTAGTTTATTATTTTTATTTTATTTTATTTTATTATTTAATTTTATTTTATTATATTATTATTTATTTTATTTTATTTAAACATTTAAACTAGTACATATTAAAAGAAGAAAGGGGAAAAAATAACAGCGGCAATAATATTATTGACAGATGGGGCGGAGGGAACGCTAAGTACACAAGGAAAGATGGGGGTCTTTCCCAATCCAACAGCCACATCCAGAATGGTGAACCCCAGTGGGGCCCCCAATCCAGCTGGCAGAGCCAGGTTTTCAAGCCAAAAAGGAAGGGAGAGATCTGCAAGCTGTGAGTTATAAGAGGGAATGCAGAGGAGAAAGGCACGCGAATCATAACTAAAAATC